TGGCTTGTTAGCTCTATTTGCAAGTCCTGGAAGGATACGTGAAGAAACTCCCTGATTAAAAGAAGCGAAGGGAGGCACGGCTCATGTTTTTGCAGGTTCGGGGATTTACGATCTTTGCTAAATGCAACAGCTCTTGTAATTTATCCTCGCATAAATGTTTTTAAGTAAACAGGAACAAGTACTTAAAATCCAGCCAGCGCTGGGAGGAAGAAATGGGGAGGGGGGGAGAGAGGCTTTGTCTGGGGTCCTTGTCAGATCGGAGGGGTGTGGGAATCTATTAAGAGGGTGTACGTTATTTATTAACCTGCAACAGGAGTCATTTGCAAATTTGGCAGACGTGGGAAACATCACTCCGGGAATACAGTCCTTTTTTTCCACAAGTGATGTTGTAACTGCTCCTCTGGCAATTACAATGAGGAAGCCTTGGAAAATATCAGGGCTGGTCTGAGGGAAACCAGAGGACAAATTGCAAAGCAGAAACTCATCAGAAAGAACACCCTGTACTGAACTGAACTCTAATTTGTATTTTTTTTTTTTTAAGAGCTAAGGACAAGACTAGTGAGGGTGACTGTTGTTTCTCCCATTCTTCAAGTAGCAGCAACATCTGGCCGACCATGTCTAAGTGCAGAAGCTAAGCAAGGTCTGGTCTAGTGAGCGTAGGGAAGGGAGACCACTAGGAAAGCCCAGAGTTAGACTGAGAAACGGGGAAAACATGGGAGAAATCAGCGGCAAAGCACTGCCATATTATTGCCAGGAAAATGCATGGTATTCTTGTCCCAATACCAAGGCAACTGGACTTTCTTTGTTTTTTCTTGAAGACGTTTCGCTTCTCATCCAAGAAGCATCAGAACTGAAGATGCTTCTGGGATCAGAAGTGAAATGTCTTCAAGGAAAAAAAAGTCCAGTTGCCTTTTTAAAAAAGCACCATGACCTGGATGACTGGGAATCTCCATAGGCATGGTATGACCCAATAAATCACTCAGGGATCTACTCTGGCTTCCTGCTTTTGGGAATCAGCCACAGATCATTAAGTCTTGCCCCCATCTGCTGCTGCAATATTTTATTTATTAAATGTACGTGCCACCCATCTTATTCTCAAGCCACTCTGAGAAGCTTACAGTGTCCTAAATATCCATACGGACAATTAAAACATTAGAAATATTAAAACATTAGGCATTAAAATTGACCGCGGCAATTCCAAACATTACGATGGAATTACAATTTTTAAATACTACAGAACAGTGTAAAAACAATTCTATAATTAAGAGGTCTCAGAATCCCTTGTCTATCAAGGAAGATGCCCACTGCATCTTTACCCAAGATAATTCCCAAAGAGCATCACCCAGAACTGCCAGAACACAATTCAGGGAGCAACATCTTCAAAACAAGAAGCACATTCAACATTCACTCAGAAATAATTTATTAAAGTTATACGCCACCCAATTCTCCGCGACTCTGAGCAGCTCAGAACAAGTCAAAGAAATGATAATAAAAGACAAGAAATCAGCAAGCTGAAAAGAAATCTAGGATGAATGAATAATTCATATTTTTTTTGCTTGCTAATAGCAAAGCGGGCTGTTAAATATTACAAGAAGCTCATTTCAGACTTTACTTCTACTACAGAGTCATTTCTCAGAGAACCTACAATCTTAATCTCATCCTTTTCATTCATCTAGCAGGATAATATGATTTAGCTTGTAAAGCCCGCGCAAGGATTAAAGACTAACATTCGTGAATTCTTTGAAAGGTGATAAATAATCATTATCAAGCACATCAAAGTCAAGAAGGTGGTTAGAGGTGAATCCATCACGAATGTGAAGATCTTACAAGTCCAAACTCAGTGGAGGAACTACCGTCAAGGCAATCAACACCTGGGCAATTCCAATCATTAGATACACAGCTGGAATAGTGGATTGGACTCAAGAAGAACTAGAAGCACCGGTTACGATGACCAGAAAAATAATGACAATGAATCATGGCGTTCCTCCACGCAGAGATGTTAACAGAGTCTATTTACCAAGGCAAATTTACCAAGGCTTAAATCAAACTTCAGATAGAGAAAGACACAACTGCAACACAATTCAAAAGAAGGATATGAACCAGGGTAGTAAGCTGAAAAGAATAAAAAGAGATTTCCCCCCCCCCCGTCACTAAAAGCTGGCTCTTTCTCCTGAAGATACTGGTGCATTTAAAAAGGATGCTTTACAACAAGTATATCCAACCTAGGCGACTTTAAGGCTTGTGGACTTCAATTCCCAGGATTCCCCAGCCCCAGTGTTAGTTGGAAATTCTGGGAACTGAAGTCCACAAGTCTTAAAGTTGGCGAAGTTGGACACCCCTGTTTTACAATTGAAGGAAAAGCAACTCCCAAATAACTATGATGAGAGCAGGCGAATAAAATATTTCCAATCCACCAAACTCGTGGGACTCCCTCCCATTTCATTCCGCGACAAAGAGATGTCAAAATAAATAGATAAAGGGTGAGTTAACTGGGCCGTGTACAGAAGTCGTGAAAAGCTATTTTTATTTTCTTAGGCTGCACGACAGCCCGATAATGCCTTTTTCATTAAAAGCCATTTCTGCTAATCCACCAAGGAAATACTGTAAACAGAATAAGAACAAAACCACTTGGCTTTTTCCGTGGGGACATGTGGAGATACGCAAGTGTGGCTAACACACTGAGATTCACACCCTGCTAGCAGCATCAAAGGGAGATCAGAAAAGGAAAGCGAGAGGAAAAAGTAAAAAACTAGGAGACTTATGCAAGGCTGGAATATAAGATTGCAGTGTGGGGTCTTCCGAGAGCCTTATAGAGAAAATTCGAAATTTATTATATACAGGTTGTCCTTGAAATACAACAGTTCATTTAGTGACCATTCAGTTACAACATTGCTAAAAAAGGGGGCTTTTGAACATTGTTCACACTTATGACCATTGCAGCCTCCTCATGGTCATGTGACCAGAATTCAGATGCTTGGCAACTGACTCATTTTACGACAATTGCAGTGTCCCGGGAGTGACGGGATCCACTTTCGCGACCTTCTGACAAACAAAGTCAATGGGGAAGCCTGATTCACTTTAACAACCGTGTGACTAATTTAACAACCGCAGCGATTCGCTTAACTGTGACCAGAACGGTCGTAAAATGGGGCAAAATTCTCTTTAACACACGTTTCGCTTAGCAACAGAACTTTTGGGCTGAGTTGCGGCCGTGAGTCGAGGACTGCCTGTGTAATTGCAAGTAATCTTCAACCGACAACCACACTTGAGCCTAAAATCTTTGTCGCTAAGCGAGACAGTTGTGAAGGGAGTTCTGCCCCATTTTACCACCTTCCTTGGCACAGTTGTTGAGTTGAATCCCTGCAGTTGTTGAATGAATCTGGCTTCCCCCATTGACTGGGCTTGTAATGAGATCACAAAGGGGGATCACGTATCACTCTGCGGCTGTCATAAGTACGAGTCAGTTGCCAAGAAGCATCTGTGAAACACAAAGAGGCCGCAATCTTTTCAAATGGCCTGGGAAGAGGATGGAGTAGCCATTAAGCTGCTTTGTAAAATGAAGGGGGATTTTCTTTCCCCTCCTCGGACAGTTTCGGTCTCCTGGGAAAAGCAACTCCAGGAGATTTTTCCACTAAGATGCACCTGTCAGATGCCTCCGTCCCTCAAAAGGAGAAGAGCAGAGGCAGCTTTCATTTCCCCAGCTTTTCTGGCGGTTCATGAATATTCCCAGACGATCTGGACAAGTGCTTGGGACCCAATTCACCTTGACCCGAAAATCTCCCCAGGGTTTGGCAAGCTAAACACCAAACTCCCTCTGACGGCTGAAAAAAATGTTTGACGCTAAATTAGACTTCAGTGGCAAACAGGTACGTAAGGCACAATCACCTTGCGCTGGGCTGGGCAGGTTCTATGATAGTGGTCAGTTAGGGGTTATTAAACACAGTGGAACAAGCCACGTCCTCGTGCGATGGGAACCAGGTCGAAGGCACCTCTTGGTTATGGCAGTTAATAAATTCCTCCCCGTGTCATTGTAGGCAAGTTACTCAGAAGTGAACCCTATTCAACTTTTTTTTCCCTTCAGTCATGTCGAAGTCACTTTGAACTCCAAGATGGGCAGCAAATAAATTTGATGATGACGGTAACAATAATGTGAGGATGCCTCTAACATCTTCCAGCATCCACGTCGGCTTATCCCAGGTCCTTGAGGAGGACTCGATAGGGGGATAAAAAGACCAAATCTAAACATCTGGCTGACTGTGAAAAGAATAATAGCAGCAAAAAAGCAAAAGTAATAGCAATAGTAGTTGGCAATTCCAAAACCTCTGGAGCACCACTTAAATTACCATCGGCACTGACAAATTCACCATCGGTCAATTGCAAAAGGCAGCTTGACTCAGAACGGCTGACATCCTGCGACAATAACTGTAAAACTATCAAACTTCCACACCTGCCTATCCCAGGTTTGTGGGAAGGACTCGATCAGTGGATTAAAATGCCAAATCCCGTCTAAACATCCGGCTGACTCCGCGAAGGACCATAAAAACAAGCAAAGATACCACAGGCAGTCCTTGGCTTACGACCACAAATGAGCCCCAAAATTTCTGTTGGTTAAGTCAGATTGCCTCGTTTTATAACCTTTCTTGCCACAGTTGTTAAGTGAATACTTCCAAGTTGTTAAGTTAGTAACCCGGTTAAGTGAATCTGGGCTTCCCCGTTGACTTTGCTTGTCAAGTCGCAAAAGGGGATCACGTGACTCCAGGACACTGCAACCGTCCTAAGTGTGAGTCAGTTGCCAAGCGTCTGAATTTTGACCCCATGACCCTGGGAATGCTGCAACAATCGTTTAGGTGTGAAAAATGATCATAAGTCCTTTTGCTCAGCACCCTTGTAACTTCGATCACTAAAGGAACCGTTGTAAGTCGAGGACTGCCTGTCCTGCATTAAATCAATCCAACCTGGCCTGCTTCTCAGTTTCTTAAAGTGCAACAAAGGCATTTTACCTCGCAGTTGAACTCCATTTCGGCATCCATGGTAATAATCCGAACCGTGAACGTTTTGGGCTGCTTCCTCTTTAAAGAGCTGAAACTCATGCGGGAGGCAATGGCCCCCGCCATGGCGAATGCCCCCTAGACTTCACCTATACCAAGGGGGTGCCCTGACCCTTCTCTGTGGGGAAGGTCCAAAGGGGGGGAGTGGGAGGGAGGAATCACCCACGGTTTAGATGCCAAGCTGGTGGATCAAACGCAAGGAAGTCCGAAGAACCAGCCAGCTTGTCCGGAGCTTTTCTATGAGAAAAAGGCGGGGGGTCCAACTCGCCCCCTTTAACATGTTTCCAAGAGGTGGTTCTGTCCTACTGGTCTTCTTCACCAAACGAGGAAGAAAAAGGAAACGCACACCCAGTTCAAAAGGATGGCCCCCCAAATTGCAAAAACTAAGGGTTTTTTTGGGGGGGGGGTTTATAGGAACCGCCTCCTTCCTGCCTTCTCTCTGCTCAGCCTTCCAAATTCCTAAATTTTAGGGGGGGGAAAAACTTGGAAAATAAATTGGTGGAGGGATTAACAGGGGTGTTATTAGATGGGCACAATTCACACGGGAGCAACAAGCCCAACAGATGCCTGCCGGTGGATGGGTGTGGGGCCAGGAGGAAAAGGAGACGGTAGCCCCCCCAATTTTATTTGGGAACGAAAGCGTCTCAAAAAAGAGACTGAAATCGGCCCAATCTTGACCCGGGTGGGGAGTGGGCTCCTTTTCAAGGCTTGATATCCTCTGTATATTTTGGAGGGCTGAAGCTGCCCCCCCAAAAAGGACTCCTGGGGTTTTCCGGAGGGTGCCGAAGAGGCGTCCTCGGAAAGAAGCCCGCGAGAAATCAGCACCCCACTTCGGCCATTCTTGTTCGGGGGGAGGAGGGCAGGGAAGTCCAGAGCCGAAGGGACCTGGGAGAAAGAGAAGGCGGATTAATAAGAGCAAAGAAAATTTATTCACAGAAGACCAGGGAAGCCTTCATGCCAGCTCCAGGAGAAACAAACCACAGATTAATTATCATCAATCCCAAGCCACCATCCCAGCCAGGAAACCAAGAAGAGAGCAGAATGGGAAAAGGGAGAGATTATCCATTTTGCAATTTTCTCTATATTTTCTATATAAGCAGGAGGGAGAAATAAGGGGGGGAACCCAAGCAAGAAAAGGGATGCTAGTTAAAGGTGTGTGTGGGGGGGGAAGGAATTACTAAGTTCAAGGCTGAGGGGGGGAGAAAATAAAGGGTCTGGGGGCTTCCAGAGACCCCAAATCGAATATTTTCAAGGTTTATTGGGGGGGAGGAATTCTCTCAGTGCCAGTATCTAGATATATGAGGTGGGGGCTTCAAGATGGCCCCTTGTAATTAAAGGAGGGGGCTTCCTATTCTCAATGTGTGTATTTATGAGGGGGGAGGCTGCCATAAAATATATATGGGGGTCTCCAAGGGCAGAAGCTTGGGAGGGGGCTTTTTGTAGGGGCCTATAAGGGGGAGGGGCTTCTATAAGACCTGCTGAGGGGGAGGCCCAGGCTTTGGGGGAGTTTTCCGCCCAAGGGGGGTCCAGGGACCCTCTCCGCGTGGAAGGGGGCGGGGGAGGAGGGCCCCTGCCCCACAAGTGGGGAGGGGCGCTCGGGGACGGGGGGGTCTCTCTCGGGGGTGCCTCGCCGCCCTCCCGCCCCTCCCGCGCTCAAACGCTGCCCTCACCTCGGCCACCACAGCCTAACCTGCCACTCCTCGCCCCTCGCCTGTCATTGGCGGAGACGAGGGCCTAGGCCCGCCTCTGGAGGCGGGGCGCCACGGTTCCGGCCGCCCACTCGGACCTAGGGAAGTCGCTTCCCTGAGCCGAGGGGACCGCGCAGCACTTCCGGTTTTCGAGCGATGGCCGCCATTTTGTGGGGGAGCCAAGGCGCCGCGCCGGACTCCCCTTCTCCTCCGAAATTTTTGCCAGGCTTAGGCCCGGCTTTTGTAGGGGCGCCGTTTTTACGGCGACTTTTTGCGGCGGGTCTCTGTCCCGCGAGCCACTACTTTCCGCGCGTTTCTAAAAGAACCGGAAAGGTGGATGCAAGGTTGAAGGTAACCGCAGCCCCTAGTCGAAATGAAGTAGAGAAGGACGGATTGGTGGATACGCTTGTCTATCTGCACGAATGGCCCTCCCTCTGCACCGAGCGTAGGAGCCAGGCCGGAGATGGCGCGGCTTCGAGCGCCCTCTAGTGCAAGAAACGGCGAAGGACAAAATACGGGAGGAAAAAAAGGAAAGGCATTCGGGCTGAGCTCTCGCAAACACGCGTAGTTATGAGAATGAACTCGTGTTATGCATTCACACAATACACCGAACCATAAACTAAATAAATGGGCTGAGTTTGCCTGACCTTAGTGGTTACAGTAATCAAATGAAGACTGCGAAAATATAATCAACCAGTAGGGGAAAACAGATTCTGTGTTTTCTCCATCTCTGGCTTTTCCCTTAGTGGTTATTAGGAAATCTTCAACCCAGGTAATCTTGTTAAGTGTGTTCTGCAAAAGTAACTTGTGGAGTTTTAACTGACCTAGGTAGTGTGTTGTGTGAACGCAGCTTGTGGGGCTTTTTTTATAGTTTATTTTCAATTTCAACATTAAAAACAAAGGGATGTAGGAACGTTTGAAAGCCACAAAAGTTAAACCACAAACGGATAATCGGTACTTTGCTCCAGGTTTAGTCCGGATCCATATGTTTAACCCATAGTTGTATAAATGAACCATGATTAGCTGGCTTTATAACATCGCATCTTTGCAATGCTACCATAACCAGACAGGGGTTTGCCTCGTTCACAAAGCCAAAATTAAACTGCCCGTTTGATGGCTTCATCTGCTCTTTGAAGCCAGCACCATCTGGAAGGAGCCCTGCCAGTTTGTTTTGGATTCTGAAAATGCAAAATGCTGGCTTTAAATAACATATTAAACTATAAGCAAAAGAAACCTTGTTATGGCTTGATGTGCAAATCTGGTCAGTGCATTTAATGTACAGAAAAAGAACAGATGTTCCAAGCTAAGAGCATTTAATTTACAGCATTTTTAAGCAATGTCTCCCCCTCATTAACTTGAAACGTCCAGGGGAAAAAAACATCTATTAAGCAGCCCTAAATAATATTGAGGAAAATGGGCACTTTGCTTAGCCCAATCAATCAAAGCTTTGGCAGCCACTATCACACACCAAAGCTTGATCTTTGTTAATCTTTCTTTCTTTATAACAATGTGAGAGGGGAGAGCAAGCTAGCCTGTTTATTGGCTGACATTCAGTCTATGGTGGATTAAGCAATAACTAAAAGGTAAAATTCAACAGGTAAGTTAAACACATTGCAGACACCATGAGCTGACCAAGAATGTTCTAGGCTGCCCTAGCCCCTGTGGCTGAGGTTTTACGCAATGTGTGAATCCAGCATCCTGGGTTAAATAGCAAGCTAAGATTATGCAGTCTTAACAGCATACAAAAAAGTAATAATAATAAAGCCCTCTTTACTGCCAGGAATAGCCCTAAACTATTCATTTTCCAGGTCAAAGGGAAGGATCCCATGATTTCCCCAGCTTGTCTAAAACTCTGCCATCCCTCATTTGAAATCCAGCAAGCGAGACATCTGTTGTGCCCCTCATGTGCCCTTGCTAAATGCCAACCGATTCTCATCATGGGTTATTTAGACATTCAGAGACAGGCATTCTGGCCTGGCTGAAGAAGACTGGGAAAGACTTAAACCAGCTTTCCTGGTGATTTAAGACTTCCATCTACATTGTTTGATGGCCTCTGTGGTCAAGCCCTGCGAGGGAGGCCAGTTTGGAAAACGAGACACGGCAAGAAGTTCGGGAATGGCGGCTGGCTTATTGCATTGCCCTGGCGCATCTCCCAACCTTAGCAACTTTAAGAGGTATAGAATACAGAATGACAGTTGGAAGGAACCTTAGAGGTCTTCTAGACCAACCCCTGCTTGAGCAGGACACCCTGTCCAGTCTCTTCTGGAAAACTTCCAGTGATGGAGCACCCACAACATCCATGCACTGATTTTATTACTCCGTTGCTAAAAAGTTACCTGGTTAAGTAATGACAGGTCTGCAAGGAGACCCCCAAGGACCCCACAGTCTTCCTCCTCTCTACAAACCCCCCTCCCTCCTAGCACGGATGATGAAGGTCCCTAGTTGGGTAATGAAACGTCTGCAAGGAGACCCCCGAGCTCAGAGAGCACCAGGGACCCCACACTCTTCATCATCATCATCATCATCCCTGCAGCCCCCTCCCTCCTCCTAGCACTGATGGAGAACCTCCTCAGTGGGCAATGAAAGGTCTGCAAGGAGACCCCCCCCCTCCCGCCAGCTGCAAACCTCCGCTGGAAAGCGGCTCCGGGCAAGGCGGGAGAGCGCGGCGCCGCCCCCGGCCCTCCCTCGCCCGGCCGGGTTGGCTGCCGCCCGCCGCCCCGCTCGGGTCCGCCCCGCGCCGCTTGGCCCGGGCAGATCCCGCAGCAGAGCGAAGATGGCGACGCGGGCGGGCGCCCTCCCGGCCCGGCCTTGGCTGCGGGCGCTGCGCGGAGGAGCCCCCCGGGCGGCCAGCCCCGGAGCCCGGTGAGACCCCCGAGCCCCCCGGCGCGCCTTCCTCCTCCCCGCGCCTGGCCCTGCGCTCCCCTCCTCCTCTTCCTCCTTCTTTTCCTCCTTCTCTTCCTCTTTCTCCTTCCTCCTTTTCCTCCTCCTCTTCCTCCTTCCTCTTCCTCCTCCTCCTCCACTCCGGGCCCGATCCCTGCGCGAAGAGGCAGCCTCGGGGCGCACCAGAGGAGGGAAGGGAAGGGCTGGGGTGGTGGGGCTCTCCGGCGGGGATGGGGGGGCGAGCAAGGGGGGAGGCCCCGAAGATCCCCCTCCCCGCTTTGTCCCGGCCCACTAGGACCCCCGACTGCCTCGGGAGCGGAGCAGGGCCGGGCCAGGGGGGAGCCAGCCCGGCGAGACGTCCCGGCCCCTCTTGGCTTTCTCAAACTCTCCTGCGAAGAGCAGAGGCTGGGCAAGCCCGTGGGGGGGAGGACGCTCCCCGTTTTGCTAGAAAGCCTCCCCCCCAAGAAGGAGGAGTGGCCCCCAGTATCTGTCCTGGCTCTGGCTGTTGCATTCACCCAGGGCAACTGAGCCCCCTTCCCCCCCACTCCTCAAGCGCCTTCTGGGCATGGCATGTTGTATGAATCCAGCCTCTGGGGTCAATCTGTAGGTCTTCTGCACTGCCCCCCACCCCAAAGAGATTGGGGGGAAGTGTGAGCAAAGGCTGGAAGCTCTTTGGCTGGGATGGTCCAGTGCGTCCCTGTCTGAGCAAGGGGTGGGCTAGAAGACCTTTGAGGTCCTTTCAACCCTGGGATTCCTCCCTGCGAGGAGAGGGTTGATGGGAAAGGGAGGTCAGAGTGGAAATCCTGCTCTTCTTGTCACTGGGGGCTGAAAATAACATTTAAGCCCTTCCTCCTTTCATTCTAAACTTAAAAGATGGAGTACCTGGTGCTCCCGCCTCTCTTTGGTCCTCAAAAGAGTAGTTCAAAGTTGGTGAGTTTGCAGAACTGGAGTTGGACTGGAATCCAGGTCTTGCTGGGCCAGGCTAGCATCCTAAAACAGCAGGATACAAAAAGAATAGATAAATAAATAAAATACAAAACTGTAGCTTGGGCCAAAAGAGGAGGGTGCTGGGTGATTGTGGTTTATTCTCAGTAAACCAGGAATGGGTTTCGCCTGGCGTGTGTCAGCATCCCTGCCAAGTTACTAGTCCCTTTGAAAACAACGGCCGTGCTAATTGTCACAATGGAGGAAAGGTTGGTGGAGATGACAGAATTTCCTGAGATGGCAAAAAAATGGCTTCTTGGATTAGGGAAAAGACAACAAACTACATTTGTCAGCAACTGAAAAAGCTTGTATTTTGGCTGAAATAGGAAAGAAAATTGAACATGGTTTATGGGTTTGGTGATTAGAAAGTGCAGAATACGGAAAGAGAGGAGCCATGATACTCCTTTAGAGTGATATAATATAAATGCATTTATAATTGCTGCAAAAAGATTGAAAGTTCCTTTATAACTTTATTTTATTACTAGGTGTTTTTCTTTGGTTTGTTTTCTATTTACTGATCACTTTCAATTTCTTTGTTTTGACTGTAAAAATTAACTAAATAAAATTAACTTCAATAAAAATTAACTAAAAAGGAAAAAAAAAGATCCAGCCGTGCTTGGACTACAGTTCCCATCCCCCATCCAGGCAGCATGGTTGAGGGGTGCTGTGGCTGTGGATGATGGGTATTGTTATCAAATCCAATAGGAAAATATCAGTTGGGGGGGGGGAACAAATCAGAAATTAACTGTTTGTTCTTGTACAGTAAGGAGACGGGAGCCAACCAGGGATGTCAGATTAGCTGTTGAAAAGATTGTTGACCAGGTATTTTCTGAAGTTAATGAGTGACCAGGATTGGAGCAAAGGTTTTGGTCAAATAAAGCAGGGGGGATATTATTAGCAAAAGTTGATTGGTATATACTGGATTACCACACTGGAAGACTCTCTTGGTCTTTATGTAAAGAAAGCTAATAGAGAAGGGTTTGATTGCATCTGTTTTTCAAGAAAGTCTATATCTTATTACAGGAGGACTAACTAGAATAGAATACAATGAATAGAATAAGAATAGAATAGAATAGAATAGAATAGAATAGAATAATAATAGAATAGAATAGAATAGAATAAGAATAGAATAGAATAATAATAGAATAGAATAGAATAGAATAGAATAGAATAGAATAGAATAGAATAGAATAGAATAGAACAGAATAGAATTATAATGTCTCAACTTTCTTTCAGAGGTTATTCCAAAGACAGTGAAAGCAGCTGGTTCCGCTCACTCTTCGTCCACAAAGTGGATCCCCGGAAAGACGCTCATTCTAACCTCTTGTCCAAGAAGGAGACCAATCACCTCTACAAGATCCAGTGTGAGTCCCCTCCCCCTCCCCCTCCCTAATTTCTAAATTTCCTTTCTTTCCTGGAACAGCTTCATTTGCACGGACCGTATCCTCATTTTATGGCCACTTCAGGCAAATTTTCTTGGACCACTTTTAAGACATTTGGACTTCAACTCCCAGAATGGTTCCCAAACTGGTTTTTCTTTGCTCTCGTTTCAGTCCACAATGTGAAGCCCGAATGCTTGGATGCCTACAACAGACTCGCGTAAGGATCAGCTCTCTCGTTTTTCATGTAAGGGGCTGGGATCAAGGAGGTTTGGCAGAAGGAAAAATGCAATTTCCTTCCCTGCCCTCTCGCAAGCTTTAGGAACAAAGCTAGAATTGCCACAGGGAGGGTTGCCAGAAATCCTTCCTTCCTTCCTTCCTTCCTTCCTTCCAACTCTGCCCATTGCCAGGAGTTCGATTCTGACCAGCTCAAGGTTGACACAGCCTTTCTTCCCTCCAAGATCGGTAAAATGAAGACCCAGATTGTTGGGGGGCAACATGCGGACTCTGTAAACCACTTAGAGAGGGGCTACAAAGCACTGTGAAGTGGTCTATAAGTCTAAGGGCTAGTGCCATTGTATTTATTTCCCAGCAGCCAAGAATAAACGTGAAGGCTGTGCTTGTTGGTCCAAGGGAAATATTTTTCATTCAAATAATTTAATTAAAATAACTTCCATTTCCCTTGGACCGAGAAACACCGCCTCTCCTGTTTGTTAGCCTCCAGGGCGCACTCAGCAACGTGCAAAGTGAGGAGAGGGAAGATTCGGCTTTTAGCACCTTCCTGAAATTCTCCCTTATTTTGCAAATATGGCTTTCTGCCCCTCGGTTAATTTTCAGCCTTGCTTTTACAGAGAAGAAGTCCTTCCCAAGCTGCATTCCGACACGGGGTATCCTTGTGAACTGGTTGGCAACTGGAATACGTGGTACGGCGAGCAGGACCAGGCAGGTGAGGATGGGAAACTTGACTTGAGCTGGGTAAAGAGCACTGTACGGTACACAGTCCCCACTTAACAACTGTATGTTTGGTGACCGTTCAAGGTGACGAACAGCGCTGCAAAAGGTGATTTAGGGCCGATCCTCACACTTACAACACTGTCGCAGCGTTCCTGATGGTCACGTGGTTGCAATTGGCAAACTGGTCTGCCTTTATGACGGGCGCAGCGACCCACGCCCCCACGACCGCCATTTTAAGCTTTCCCCACCCTCTCCCGACCAGCAAGTTATCAGCGGGGGAGCTGACAGAGAAGACAACAAGTCACAGCGATGCGGACGTATTGCTTAATGACCGTGGTGTTCTGCTTAACAACCGCAGCAAAAAACAAAGGTGGTAAAACTGATCACGTGACCATGGGGCGAATGCCGCAACGGTTATGAAGTGTGAAAAACGGCCCTAAGTCACTTTTTTTGGTGCCGTTGTAACTTCGAAATGAACTGTTGTAAGCCGAGGACAAGCCGTACGGTGGAACAACCCAGCCGGAGGCTCGCTTGCGTTTTATATCCGCTCCTCCTTTTGGGGGCTGTGTAAGAATCGGCGGCCTCTTTCGTCTCTTTGCAGTGCATATCTGGAGGTTCGTCGGTGGCTACTCGGCCCTCATGGAGTCCATGAACAAGCTGAGGGAGAATCAGGTATTTGGGGGTGCCCCATCGCACCCCGGTCTTCCCTGGTGCAGCAGGTGGCAGTGCTGTTCGAATATCCGTTGTTGATTCGTGTGTTAAAATTATATGTGCCAAGTTTTTGACCTCGAGAAGACAACAACTAGCTCCTTTCTGCCACCTGACTCTCCCCATCTTCTCTTCCGGCAGGAATACCTGCAGTTCCGCAAAGAGAGGAGTAGCATGCTCCATTCGCGAAGGAACCAGCTGCTCCTGGAGTTCAGCTTCTGGAATGAGCCCCTGCCACGCGCCGGGCCCAACATCTACGAACTGCGCTCGTACAAGCTGAAGGTGAGATCTCTTTGCACGGGCGGGAGAGGGAAGCCTCCTTGATGACAAATTTCCTTTTTTCTCGGCAATGTATTTATTCATCTATTGGTATCCCGCCTTGATTATTTTTTTTTTTACAAATCACTCAAGGCAGCAAGCATGCTAGCCTTCCCTCTTCCGCCTCCTATTTTGTCTACAGGAATAACCCTGTGGAGTGGGCTGAGTAACTGGCCAAAGTCACCCAGTCACCTTTCATGCCTAAGGCGGGACTAGAACTCACCATCTCCTGGTGTTTGGCCCAAAATCATCCAGCTGATTTTATCATGCCTAAGGCAGGACTAGAACTCACCATCTCCTGGTGTTTGGCCCAAAGCCAGCTGGGTGACTTTGTGCCAGTCGCTCTCTTTCAGCTCAACCAACCTCACAGGGTTGTTGTGGTGGGGCAAATAGGAGGAGGAAGGCATATTACCTACGTTGGCTGCCTTGAGTTATTTATAAAGTAATAAAGGAGGGAATAACAATCTAATTAATAAATTTGCTGATCCAACTGTAAAGGCTGAGATTGGCCGATTGGGTGTCGTGAATGAATTTCTGCAATCTTCTCTTACTTTTTTGAATTTCAGCCCGGAACCATGATTGAGTGGGGAAACAACTGGTAAGCAGAAAGCAGTTCAAATATTGTTAAAGTTGCCCACAGGTCAGTATAAAAGAGAGATTAATGAATTCCCTGAAGAAAAAAAGTGATATTTGCAATTTGCAGCTCACAAATTATTATTGCTAGCAAAAGAGTAATTATTCGTGTTTCTTCATCTCTCTCTTTCTCGGTTGGCGCAGGGCTCGGGCAATTAAACACCGTCAAGATAACCAGGAAGCGGTGGGGGGCTTCTTCTCCCAAATTGGAGAGTTGTACATCGTACATCACTTGTGGGGTAGGTAGCCTTGAAACCCCATAGTTCTCTAGAGCTGGCATGAAAATAACCTTATAATTTAGGAGATGTTTTTGTCGCTTTGCAGCCTACAAAGACCTGCAATCTCGAGAGGAGACGAGGAACGCGGCCTGGAGGAAGCGAGGATGGGATGAAAATGTTTACTATACAGGTCAGACATCTTGATAAGGTGCTGCTGGACATCTTATTCAAAGTTGTGGCTGCTTCAGTGCTCTGACCACATGATCTTCATTTTTAATGCTCTGTGACAGTTTCCCAGCCAATCTTGCAATCCCTTGCTCCCTTCCCCACTCAGCAACAGCCACTCACCTGCCTGCTGAAGAGGGAGGAAGGAAGGGAAGGAGGAAGGAAAGAAGGAGGGAGGGAGGCATTCCCTGTTGGCCAAGGGTATCTCAAGTTGGATGCCAAGAACAACAAGTCACAATTTCCCAAGATACTGTCTCACTCTGTGACACTTTGAATGTCCTTCTGTGTTTGCAGTGCCTCTCGTTCGGAGCATGGAATCCCGAATCATGATACCCCTGAAGATTTCCCCGTTGCAATGACCCACCTTCCCGGGGCAGCACAAGGCTCAGCCATCACCCGGGGGGAAAAAAAAACTTTGTTACATTTCCTCCCCAGCCCCTTCCCCTCTAATAAACTTTGTTACTTCCTGGTCCTCTAACCTTTTCTGCTTTGTTTTCTCCGCCTAAGGCGCTCTAAAAGATGTGTGGACTTCAACTCCCAGAATTCCCCAACCAGCACGCGTTAAGAAGCCTGGAACTTCAACTCCCAGAATTCTTGAGTCAGTGTGGCTGGCTCAGGAATTCTGGGAGTTGAAGTCCGCACATCTTTTAGAGCGCCTGGTTTGAGGAACGCTGAGCTAGAAAGATTCTGTCCTTTTTTTTTAATCTATCCATTCCATTTTTTTCTTCCTCTCAACCGTCAACATGTTAATTTCCAGTTGGAGCAGAGCCTGATGAATGCTTAGCTTGTTCTGCAGAGGAAGAGGATAATCAAATATTTGATGAGAGGCTATTGATGTCCAGAGAGCTGACTATGATGCCTGTTGTGAGGGACGGATGCTTTTAAACAATTTTTGTGCACCAGATTCTCTTCCCTAGTGTCAGGCCTCTTTTCTGGAGGGGGAAGGTGACTCCCCCCGCCTCCTTTAGAAGGACAAGCATTCTGACATCTGGAAGCATTCATGTGGGCCTGCCGCGGCCACGGATGCTTGTGGCAAATAGTCTGAGCTTTAGCGACTTAAAAAGAATTGACAGTAGCAATGATAATAACAATAATAAAAAGGTCTGCTTTTCAAGGGCTGTGTGACTTGCCTTATTGCACACGCAATTAAATATTTAACACACTACATCTGGTTTTGGTCAGTAGAATAGAAAAAAGAGGAGTGCAGAGAAGAGCAACAAAGATGATTAGGAGACTGGAGGCTCAAACAAAGAACGGTTGCTGGAATTGGGGATGTTTAGTTTAATGAAAAGGAGGAGTAGGGGAGACGTGGTAGCAGTCTTCTAATATTTGAGGGGCTGCCACAAGGAAGAGGAGTTAATCTATTCCCCAAAGCACCTGAAGGCAAGACAAGATGCAACGGATGGAAATTAACCAAGGAGAGAAGCAACCTGGAACTAAGGAGAAAATTCCTGACAGTGAGAACAATTAACCAGTGGAACGACTTGCCTCCAGAAGTTGTGGGTGCTCCATTTTTGGAGGTTTTCAAAAAAAGACTAGACAGCCATTTATCCGGAATGCTAAAAGGGTCTCTTGTTTGAGAATATGACTTTCCTTTGCAGTTATTTTTACGTGATTTGTGATTCTCAGGATGGTAATCTTTTGATAAGGAAGCTGCTGCCATGCCTAAGATATTAGCAATTCTCAAGAACGCAAGACGCATCTGTGGGGTGCACGCTGACCTCTTGAGAGTGATCCTTGTTCTGTTTTCTGCTTGCACAGCATCAAGCCAAAGTCTCAACAACAAAAGTGTGTATGTTGCACTCGGCCTGACCTCGTCCTCCTGGCAAGGAGGCTTTGAAGCATGGATTGCTTTTTTTTAAAAAAAATATAATTAACTGAGGGGATTTTTCATTCATTAGAAGAAGAATAGGTAAGCCCTCAACCTAGGAGCACTGGGTTGAAATTATGACGGACCTATCTGGGAGGGGTTACTCATTTCCCATTTCATGACTTTCGCTGTGTTATAAATACCAAAAATACAAACAAAAATAAAAATAGGAAATTAAGGGAAGGAAAAAAGAGGGGCGGCGGAGAAAATAGGAGGTATGAGGGAAGAAAGGGGAAAAAAGCGTTGACTTCCGACTCTTTTTAGCACAGTACAATAACATTCCAGCCTCAACTTTTTACTTCTACCCATTAGAATATAACCAGCCATTTCTATAACAAGCAAAACCAAAGTCGGAGTTTCATGGGGGGGGGGGTTTGTCCATCACAAGCACAAAATCCAGACGTGATGTCCAAATTAAAAAACATTGATTATAATGCAATCTACAACAAAGAAGAAATTTACTGATAGTTAGAACAATTAACCAGGGGAACAACATGCCTCCAGAAGTGGTGGGTGCTCCATCCCTGGAGACTTTTAAGAAGAGACTGGACAACCGTTTGTCTGAAATGGTATAGGGTTTCCTGCCTGCGCAGGGGGTTGGACTAGATGACCACCAAGACCCTCCCAACTCAGTTGCTCTAGGTTCTTTGGAGGCAAGGAGGATGAGGTGAGGTGCCGTTAACCTTGAGTGAGGAAATTGGCGTTTGTGTCTGAAGAGATAATCATGTTGTAAAAGGCAGGGTCAACCTGTTCTCCATCAGTCCAAGAAACAGGAGGTCAAATAACTGGTTGAAGTTACAAGAAGTGACAATATAGTAGACATCACCTCTGTTCACAGGAGATGGTTACCTTCCCTGGACTGGCACGCTTGAATCCTGATTCCTGCACACAGCAAGGGTAAGACTAGATGACCTCAATGCTCCTGTCCACTTTTCTTGATTGTAAATACGGCAACAGGTGGAGATATCAACAGAGGCCGTTTTTAGGCTTTATTTCTTTATTTTTAGACTTTAAGCACGGAAAGTTTCTTTTCTCCGTAAAAATGGAGCACATTTATCAACTGCTGACTCCGAGTTCTGGATCATGGCCAGATTGGAAAAATTAAAAAAAAATAAGAACTTTGAAATCTTTCCCACTATCTAATCCAGAAATCATGCAAAAGGACAAAGATGACAAGGCGTTTACCCATCAATCTGCAAGTCCATGTCACGCTTGGTTGTGTTGCAAACCTCGGCAGTTAGATCACCCTATTTTCATGGAAGGATTTTTTTTTTTCTCCCGCTCTCTTCTAAACACCTCCCAACATGCATTTTCTGCTTGGGTCATTTCAGCCAGTATATTTCTCCAGGGCAAAAAGTTTCCAAATTCCACAGTGCCTGGAAAGGAGGACAGTAGTCCCCCCAGTTCCTTCCCTGCAGAAACAACTGTTGGAAGAAAACTGGCACATTTGCAAGCAAACAGCTTTGGTTTTATCTCCTTCCTGGAAGATGAATCGTTCTGATAGACCAATAAAACCAATCTCTTATCTCTTAAAATTTCTTATCTCCCATCGCAGCTGGGGCCAAGGTTATGACAAGGCTATAAAGGCTGAGCTCCCTGGCAATCAACCTTCATCCTGACCGCTGACAGAATGAATCCTACTCACCTCCTGGTCCTGGCAGCAGGTAAGTGGAGATCCAGTAGATCCAAAGAATCCATTCAGGGATATGGCAGGCTTTCCTGACTTGATCATTTCCAGAGGTTTGGGCTGTCTAGGAGACAGATTCCCCCAGTCTTCCAAAAAGAGGGAAGGCTCCCCCACCCTTCACTGAGCAGGGAATTGGATTTGGCTGCTGGTTATTTGCAAAATACTAACGCTGATTTTCTTGTGTGTAGTTTGTGTCTCCTTTTTGGCCGCCTCTGTTATTCCTGTCCCGTCTCGCAACCTGTTACAGTTCGGCAACATGATCAAATGCGCAATCCCCGGCAGTAAGCCTTTGCTGGATTACGCAAAGTACGGTTGCTATTGTGGCTTCGGAGGCAGTGGGACACCTGTAGACAAACTGGACAGGTAAGCCCTGGCCTCCTTTAGCACAGGGGTTCAGATCAAGTTAAGAACATAGAATCATAGGCTCGGAAGGGACCTGGGAGGTCTTCTAGTCCAACCCCCTGCACATAGCATAGATCCTATACCAGTCCAGACTTCCTTTGGGCTTGATGGGATGGATACAAGGGAAGATCATGAACCCCCAGAAATCCTGCAGTCCAATCCCACACCCAAGCAGGAGACCCTCTATTGTTTCAGCCAAATGGCTGTCCAGTCTCTTCTTGAAAACCTCCAGTGTTGGATCACCCACAACTTCTGGAGGCGAGCAGTTCCACTGGTTAATTCTTCTCACTGCCAGGAAATTCCTCCTTAGTTCTAGGTTGCTTCTCTCCTTGGTTAGTTTCCATCCGTTGCTTGTTGACCTGCCCTCAGGGGCTTTGGAGAATAGCTTGACCCCCTCTTCTTTGTGGCAGCCCCTCGAATATTGGAAGACTGCTATTGTGTCCCCCCTAGGATAATGGGTCCTCTATCGTCCTTTGGCTTCATAAATCAAAGGGGATCACTCTCATGAAATGATACAGTGGAAAGAACTTGGGAGACGGGGCCAAGAGATGCTATTTAGGGAACGGTCAGATAAGAGAGGGCATAGTTCACAGCTACATAAGGGGTGGAGAAAGAGGCTCTGAAGGGACCCTGCCTAGTTTCTCAGGAAAGGAGATGGCAGGAGAATTGTACATAATTGTACATAATTGTACTTTCAGACCTGCAAGGTTATGTTAAGGTAGATTTACAATGAAACTCAGAGAGCTCTAAGGACCCCACAGTTGTCGTTGTCATCCTCTTCCTCCTTCCACAAACCCCCCTCTCTCCTAGCACTGATGACGTTACCTAGTTAGGTCATGAAACGTCTGCAAGGAAACAAGCAAGCTCAGAGAGCTCCAAGGACCCCACAGCCCTCTTCCTCCCCCTCCTCCCATCCACAAACCTCCTCCCTCCTAGCACTGATGATGTTACCTAGTTGGGTCATGAAACCTGTCCAAGAAAATGAGCAGGTTCAGAGCGCACCCAGGACCCCTCAAGAGAGGGCTTCTCCCACCTGGAGAACCAGCCCTAAGTCTTCCTGCTTTGGGCCAGGTGCTGTCAGACCCATGACCAGTGCTACTCTCAAGCCAAGAAGCATCCTGCGTGCAGGTTCCTCCTGGACAATCCGTACACCAAGACCTACTCCTACACCTGTTCTGGAGGCATCCTCACCTGCAAAGGTAAATATCACAAACCCCAACCTGTCTTTCAAAGGCAGGTAATCCTTGAATTTCAACTATGCTGTTTAGTCGCCATTACAACAGCACTGAAAAAAAGTGACGAATGACCAATCTTCTTGTGTCGGTGCTTATCACCCCACGTTCACCTGTTCACGCTTCGGTTGCTTGGCAACCGGAATGCATTTACGACGGTTGCAGAATCCCCAGCTCAGGTGGTCACCCCGAGGTTCACAATTTTCTCCTTCCCTCCAGACGACAAAGATGAGTGCGCAGCCTTTATTTGCAACTGCGACCGCTCGGCCGCCATCTGCTTCGCCGGGGCCCCTTATAACGAGGAGTACAAGAAATTGGATACCAGCAAGCATTGCAAATAATGTTTGAAAGACTTCAACGCAAGGCCACTACTCATGTGTGCACGCGGGAATTCTCCGGGCGGGCCTCGCATGGCTACCTGTGAAACAGAAAAGACAGACACTGCACCAGCACAAACATTTTTATTTAAAACAATCAAACAAAAACAAAGGAAACATTTCCTGAACAATAAAGTGAGGCATTGGTGTCCTTTTAGGTTTTCTGTTATGTGTTCTTTATTTATGGGAACAAAAGCCCAGCGTGGAGGTCATGACTTACACTTAGAATCCTTTGCCATATAACTGTATTTTTGCCCAGGGCCTCTCAACTTCAGACTTGCAGTGTGTTTGTGTGTGTGTGTGAGAGAGAGAGAGAAAGAACAGGGAAAACAGGTGCCCCTTCCTTTAACTAAATTCCCCCTTTAAAGGCTGAAAAAATTAGCTCCTTTCATGTCGGGCGCTGGGAACTAAAAGAATCCTGGTTATGAAGTGCCCCAGTGATGATCACAGGACACGGTGATGGTTTTAAACGCCAGAATGAGTCACCAACCTTGTTTTTCATGTCGTCGTAAATTCCAGGGGTTGCTAAACAAGACAGCTGGTAAGCGAGGCCTATCTGCACAGGTAGTCCTCATCTTACAACAGCGCATTTAGTGACCGTTTGAAGTTACGACAGCCCTGACAAAACTGGCTTATGACTGTTTTCACAACGACGACCGTTCACACATGTGATCAAAATTCAGACACTTGCCCACTGGCTTGGACTTAGGACGGTCGCCGTGTCCCGGAGTCATGTGATCCCCTTGAGTGACCTTCTAACAGGCAAAGCCAATGGAGAAGCCAGATTCACTTAACAACTGCAGCGATTCCCTTCACAACTATGGCAAAAAAAAAAAAAAGATCGTAAATCAGGGCAAAACGTAGGAGTTGAATTCTGGGAGCTGAAGTCCACGGGTCTTAAAGTTGCCAAGGTTGGACACCTCTGCTTTAGATGTTGGCAATCTGATTTCATGGAGGGAAGGTGAGACGAAGCAGGGATCAGCCCAGCACCCAGCTATTTGGAGCCAGGTTGCAGCCATTTTGACATTGTTTGAGACCAGTCTTGGAAACACGCAATTGGTTCTTCATTTCTTGATGTCACAATTCCTCTCCGGAGCAGCTGTGGGCCAAGAGGATGGAAGGTTTCTCTCCCAGAGCTACTCCTGCCCAGAGGCCAAACTACATCTTCTTTCCTGAAAAAGATCAGCTCTTTGGCTATTCCAGACTTGGGAGAAGCCCGTTGCCAGCAAAGTCGCCTCCGTAATTAAGTACTTGCTTCCAAAGACTTGTGGCCACCAGAATAAAATCTCGGTGGGAATTCTGCTGAGACAAATGTATCTGGATCTGGTTCTTTGGCTCAGGACATCCCAAGCAAAAAATGTCCCAATCTCTCAACCATCCAAAACGCCAGTTGTCTATAACCTGGTACCCTTCAGATGGATTGGACATCCATTCCCAGGGTCTCCAGTGAATTTGGGAAGCATAAGTTGAGAACATTTTGAGATGCTGGCTGGCTGAGATTTCAGACTTAAGGTTGAGCCTAGGGTAACCTGCAGGTTTGCTATCTTGGGAGTTTAGGGTTTGTGTGAACCCATCTGGGGCTCTTAGTTTACGTTTGAGTGAAGCCAGGTCATCAGAAAATGCTGCAATCACTTACTTAATTAGCAATTATTATGACGAACAAATATAACGAAACGCGGTCACTTTTAATGGGAACGTTTGCATGTAATCAACATGTACATAAGCCGTCTATATTTATTATGTACGAGTATAAAAACTAGGTATGCCCCTGTGTCTGTGTGTGTGTGTTTTACTTTTCCTTAATTGGTTTAATAAATAAACAGCAAGTAATGCTAATTAATTGGATTTAGAACACATGCACTGTTTTGTAATTAACTGGGTAGATGTGAGGAAAGAAACCGCTGTACGGTATTGGGGTGATCTGTGATGGACACAAGCCTCTTTCTCAGCTTTCCATGTTTTTCTCCCCTTTCCAGGCAACAATTGCAGTTACCCCCAAAATAATGTGGAGACGCTTTAATCCATGGGTGTCCAACCTTTTGGCTTGCCTGCGTGTCCTTAAGAGGAATTGTCTTGGGAGACGTATAAAATATATAATATAGTTAATGTATATACATATCGCTAGAGACTACATATGGGTAATCCTTGGCTTACAACCCATTGTTTAGTGACTGTTAGAAGCTACAGTGGCATTGAAAAAAGGGACTGAGGACCGTTTTCCACACTTAGGACTGTTGCAGCATTCCTGTGGTCACATGGCCAAAATCTGGATGCCTGGCAACTGACTCATATTTACGACAGTTGCAGTGTCCCAAGGTCATGTGATTCCCCTTTTGCGACAAAAGTCAATGGGGAAGCCAGATTCATTTAACAACCTGGTGGCTAATTTAACAAGGGCAGTGATTTGCTTAGCAACAGTGGAAAGAAAGACGGCGCAAAAGTCACTTCACAAATGTCTCACTTAGCAACAGAAAATGTTGGGCTCCACGGTTGTCGTAAGTCAAGGGCTACTTGTAACGTTACGGGTATAGGATGGAGCAGCCTTATGAGCTGTCCAGGGCCACGTGTGGCCCACAGACCCACGAGATGAACATGCCAGCTCTAATCTGTGGCTTCCTTCTTCTGAGCAGGACAAAGATGGAGATGCTCAATGAATTTGACAACGAGTCCCCGCTCTACGTCTCCTTCTGCAGGCGGATCTCTCCAGAGGATTTTGAGAGCCAGTCGCTGACCTACACCCAGAAAGCTTTGCGGGAGCTTTACGCCCACATGGAACAGAATCCAGGCCTCTGCGCCGCGATTGTGCAGAAGCGGAAGCAGCTGGACAGCGAGGATGCTGGGTTGGTGTCCTACATGAAGGTACGATGTAGGTTTTATCGGAAAGTGGTAGACAGGCAGAGGTGGTCCTTGGCTTAACGACCGTTCATTTAGGGGCCGTCCGAATTTGCAGCGGCACTGAAAAAAGCAACTTATGACCGTTTTTCACACTTATGACCGTTGCAGCGTCCCTGTGGTCATGGGATCAAAATTCAGACATTTGGCAACCCACTCATATTTATGATGGTTGTAGTGTCCCAGGGTCAAGAGATCCCGTTTTGTGACCTTCTGACAAGCAAAGTCAAGGGAGAAAGGAGAAGGGGAAAGAAGGAGAAGGAGAAAGAGAAGGAGGAGGAGGATGAAACATTCAGAAGTGAGATGAGGATTCTAATTTCATTAGAATATTCTAGATCAGGGATAATCCAACCTTGGCCACTTGAAGACTTGTGGACTTCAACTCCCAGAATTCCTCAGCCAGCCCAGCTAACGTGGGAATTGAAGTCCACAATTCTCCAAGGTTGGACACCCATGTCCTAGATGGGGTCCCAGGTCCTTCTCTGCTTCCTGCCCTCCTTCTCACGTTCTCCTGGGCCATTTTCCTCCCAGAGACATAGAGCCATCGTTGACATGCTAGAGAGCCTACCCCAATTGCCGTTGTTTTGGTACAGCCAAAGCCGCCGGTGGCGAAGGGATGATAGACAACAAGCTCTTCTCTTTCTCAGGCCAAGTTTTCTTCCTTGTTTTGCCCCGAGGATTCCCTGAAAATGGATGACATACGGAAGGAAGTCAAGCAGCTGAAATGGGAGATGCAGAAGGTGAATAACTACGCTTTGGGTAAGTCTGAGGTTGGGGGGTCTCTGCGGTTTATGCTGCCCAAAAATATCTCCCACTGAGTGCCTCCCTTCTTTCCACAGCTGCCAAAAAAGCATCCTACTTGACCCCGGAGAGAAGAACAAGGAAGAATCTTGCTTTGGGAACCTTCAACCCCAGCCCAACCAAACTTGGGGAGCCAGTGGTCCCAACCATGCCCAAAATCTTCGGACCATTCCCAAGCCAGGTCTGTACTCCTAATTCGGATGGCCCCCTTTGGTCCTCGAATGATCAGGCCCTGTGTTGACAGGAAGTCCTCGGCTTACAACCATTCGTTTCGTGACCATTTGAAGTTACAACGGCACCAGAAAAGGGACTTAACAGCTGTCTCGCTTAGCCACAGAAAGTTTGGGCTCAACTGTGGTCATAAGTTGAGGACTACGCCTGTACTCATAGAATAGACCCTTCCAGTTGCTAGTTTGGCAAACGTCCTTCTTTCACTCTCCCCCTTTCTGAGTGCCTTTTGGGTCTGCTCAGCAGGCAGGCAGAGATACTGCAGTTCTCAAGTTATGATCACAACGGATCCCGCGTGGAAAATAATTTTAAATAGGGAATATCCTGGATTTCTCGGGAGTCCTCATGAGGTTCTGTTTCCTCTTTTAGGGACACCACTAACAGCCCAACCGGATCCTTGCCGAATGCCAACTAAGCTTGTTCTCCTACTATCAACCCTGCAGTGTTGGCTAAGCCAAGGAGCTTTAAAGAAGATTGTAAAGTAAACCACAACCCGGACCTTGATTCTCGCTCAACAGGATCCTGAACCTCTCTTGGCAGAGGGGAAGATACTAAGCAAATGAAAGTTCTGTGCACCATGGGTAGCCGGGTGGCGACTGTGATGATTGTGACTCTGATTGCGTGGCGACTATGTTGTGCCTCTGAACACGAGCGGCAAGGGAAGCCGAAAAGACAGGTCCGCTCTGTATGTTTTGAATGCAAATCACACCCCCCACCTTGAGCTTAACAGAACAACAGAACAGAATAAGAGAATAACAGAGTTGGAAGGGACCTTAGAGGTCTTCTAGTCCAACCCTCTGTTCAAGCAGGAGACCCTGTGCCATTCCAGACAAGTGATTGTCCGGTCTTTTCCTGAAAGTATCATGCATACAATGCCAGAGAAATCTAGATGCGATGCAGTCCTGGCGGCCTAAATTGCTAGCTCATTGTGTGGTGCATAGGGTGGCTTTGCTGGCTGGGGAATTCTGGGAGTTGAAGTCCACCCAATCAATCAATTAATCAATCAGAATAGAGCTGGAAGGGACCTTGGGGGTCTTCCAGTCCAGCCCCCTGCTCAAGCAGGAGACCCTGTACAATTTGAGACAAGGGGCTGTCCAGTCTCTTCTTAAAAACCTCCAGTGATGGAGCACCCACAGCTTCTGGGGGGAAGCTGCTCCACTGACTGTCAGGAAATTCCTTACTTCTATGTTGTATCGCTAACAAACCTGCAGCCATTACTTCTTGTCCTGCCTTCCGATGCTTTGGAAAATAAGTTGACCCCCTCTTCTTTGTGGCAGCCCCTCAAATATTGAAATACCGCTATCATGTCGTCCCACCCCCGTCCTTCTTTTTCTCTTAACTGGCCTTACCCAAGTCCTGCAACCGTTCTTCTTATCTTTTAGTCTCCAGGCCTATTTGCTCTTCTCTGCCCTTTTTCCAAAGCCTTCTTCAAAGTTGGTTTTTAAGGTTGGGAATCGCTTGGTTGCACAGGTTGATTTAAGTCGGAAAGATCAGGAGATCCTGCTGAAATTTCAGAACTGATTGAATGCATGCTTAAACGCCTGGCTCGCTTGAAAGGGAGCATATTACAAAGTAAAATAGATTTTAAAAAGCAGAACATCTCCTGCAGGCTTTGAAGGCGCCCAAGCAGCCAAGTTGGACAGTCACGCTCCACCCAAACAGCCACCGGATCGCGTTTCTCGTTTTCGACCACTAGGGGCGGAAGAGAGCCGACGCCACGCTCTAGCCGCTCGCCGGGAATCCCGCTGGTTCTATTGTCTGCCGCTACGGGTTGGAAGAGAGCCGACGCGACGCTCTAGCCGCTCGCCGGGAATCCCCACTTGGGGAAATCTAGTTCCGGCTGGGCCCTTCCGGTCGGTGATGCGGAAGGCTTTTCCGAGCGGCAACGGCGGAGAGATCGAGCTTCGGTGACCGGGGAGCGTCGGCTGAAGGTGGGGCCGCCTTCTCCGGGTGGAGAAGCCGCCGGAGCCGGGTTGACTCGCGTGGAGATGCGCTGGGCTCGGGGTCCTCTGACCATGTGCAGAGGGCGGGGGGGACAGTGTGGGAGGGTTTGTATCACCATAAAGGGCGAACCCCTGCGAGATCGACCAACTCCCCTTGATTAATCAGGTCCATTTTGATGGATCAGCCTCATGGACAAAACTAGTGAAGGTGCTGGGCGAGAAACCAGGAGGCTGGGAGTTCTAGTCCCGCCTTAGGCATGAAAGCCAGCTGGGTGACTTTGGACCAATCACCAGGAGGCTGGGAGTTCTAGTCATGTCTTAGGGATGAAAACCAACTGAGTGAGTCTGGACCGATCTCTCTCTCAAGCCAGCCCACCCCACAGGGTTGTTGTTGTGGGAAAAGAGGAGACAGGAATATTAGGCATGTTGCCTGGCTGGAATTGATGTATGTATTTAAAAAATCTGGGATAACATTGTATAAAAGTACTTCAAATTTACATACCATGAAAGAATGGTGGGTGAAGATGCCAGAGTTGTCAAAATTAACTTGTTTGATTAGGAAAGGATCAGCAGCTACATTTAGTGATTGGAAATCCCTTTATGGACTTTGAGCTGGAAAAAGAGAGAGAAATGAACTTGTGATTTATGAGTTTGGAGATTAGAAAGAATACCTTATGGAAGGAAGGAAATTACGATGTCACTTTAAAGAGGAAGGGCAAGAAAACCTTTACAATCCTTGCTTTCCTTTTTCCTTTTATATTTCTGTTTTCTTTTTTTCACAATGTACTATTCTTATTATTTTTATTTTCTTTTATTTATGATTTTTTTTTACTTCTATAAAAAGTTTGAAACAAAAAAGATGGGTTAGGAAAAATTGATTGACTGCTCCTCCACCTACCGGTTCTGACTTTCTCCGTCTTTCCCAGGAAAGCCGAAGGAAATGGCCTCTGAGTCCAACAAGAAGCGGAAGCCGAAGGTGATTCGCACGGATGGCGGTCCACAAGAAGGCAAGCGGAGCAGAGCGGACGTTGATCAGGTAAAGTCTGCAGGAGTCCTCGCAAAACCTGGGAGATGGTTTTTTGTGCAGAAATCTGCAGTTCCACTGATTAATATGTTCTCAATGTCAAGAAATTCCTCCTTAGTTCTAGATGTTTCTCTCCTTGGTTAGTTTCCATCCGTTGCTTCTTATCCTGCCTTCAGGGGCTTTGGAGAACAGGTTGACCCCCCTTTTCTTTGTGGCAGCCCCTCAAATATTGGAAGACTGCTATCAGGTCACCCCTTGTTCTTATTTTCATTAAAAGCTCATTAAATTCAGCAGCCCTGCTTTGTTTCTCTCCGTAGGATGCCAAGTACTACAGCGAAGAGGCTGAGGTGGATCTGCGGGACCCCAACCGGGATTATGAACTTTACAAACAGACCTGCCAGGATCTTCAGAAGCTGATGGCAGAGATCCAGGAACTGAAGAGTAAAGGCCACAAAGACAGTGTAAGTCACCTGGGGTGATCAAACAACCCTCCTGGGGGAAATACAGGTAGTCCTCGACTTAACGACCGGCAACTGAGTCAAAAACTTAGATTGCTACGTGAGTTTTGCCCCATTTTACAACTTGCCACAGTTGTTAGATCTGGTAAATCAACGCCCTCGTCTGTTTTTCAGGCTGCCGAGATAGAAGAGCGACGGGTCCAGAGTTGCGTCCACTTCATGACTCTGAAGAAGCTCAACCGTTTGGCTCATATTCGGCTGAAGAAGGGGAGGGACCAGACCCACGAGGTGCGGCCGAGTCTAGAGATGAGAAAATGCAGGGAAGGGTGGAATAACTGAGCCAGGCTGGGGGGATTTGCAATGTTTGGGTCACAATGGCTTATTGTGTAAATTTCGTTAACACTAAATTTGTTCCTGCAGACTCACAGATAGTCCTTGACTGACAGCTCTTCAGCTCTGACTGGGAGGGTTGGAAAGGCAGGATTTATATCCCTTGCAGAAAGCTGGTCATTTGCCTTCTTTCAGAGAGTTGTTGAGGCTGCTTGGAGTCCCCTGAGTAGTGCAAATGGGTGTGGAGCCTTCTTGGAACCGTTGAAAGGCCTTTGTTGTAGTCTGGGGGTAGATGATGTCGTATCCCTACCCCTCTGTTGAAAGAGGGTTGTTTTTTTACCTAGATGACCTCTTTGACCCCTCTTTCAAACCAGCAGTCTTCTCTGTCCCAAAATGTGGACCTTGCCGTCTTCGAAAGAGCGGCCTTTTTTAAAATGCAGATGGCCTGCTGAGTTTTGTCCTGGTGGCTTTGTTCTCCTATGCTGTGCCCTGCGTTCATAAACGAAGAAGCTTCTTGGATGAGAAGCGAAACGTCTTCAAAAAAACCCCAAGGAAGTCCAGCTGCCTCTTGAAAAAAAAAGCATCTTTGGGTTGACTCTTTTAATGTGGCAACTTTGGCCTCTGTTTTTCTTGTGGATACAGGCCAAACTGAAAGTGGATGCTTATCACCTCCAGCTCCAAAATTTGCTCTATGAAGTGATGCATCTGCAGAAGGAGATCACAAAGTGTCTGGAGTTCAAGTAAGTTCATTGGGAGGGAGGGAAATATAACAGCTGGCAACCGGGTGGACGTTTAAGATTTTACTTGGGAGAATCTGAACAGGTTGGAAAAAGAGCTGACTTTTCATCCCTCTGAACAATACTGGAATTTATGGAGATTCTCAGTCATCCAGGTCATCGTTATCCTAAAGATGCTGTTTCAGGAGGCAACTAAACTTTCTTGTTTTTTCTTCGAAGACATTTCACTTCTCATTTGAGAAGCTTCTTCAGCTCTGACTGGATGGTGGGGAATGGAAGGATTTATACTCCTTGCAGACCGCTGGTCGTTTGTCTTCTTTTAGAGAGTCGTTGAGGCCACCTGGAGACTTACCTGTGTCCTCAGGGTCGCCTGAGTGGTGCAAATGAGCATGGAGCCTTCTTGTGGCTGCAGGATGTTTTCCTGCAAGACACAGACAAACCTCCAAGTGGCCTGTGCTTCACAATCTTGGGAAGTTTAAGATGTATGGACTTCCAACTCCCAGAATTCCTCAGCCAGCCATGGGGAATTCTGGGAGTTGAAGTCCACACATCTTAAATTTTCTCAAAGTTGGGCAGCGCTGTTTTAACCCTTTCCTGTCTCTCTTGGGAGTGAGAGGAATAATTTGTAAAGCCAGCCATCTCCTTTGTGCTCCTTTGCGCAGATCCAAGCATGAAGAGATTGAACTGGTGAGCGTGGACGAGTTTTATAAAGAAGCCCCTCCAGAAATCAGCAAATCAGACGTTACGCTCCACGACCCACACGAGCAGACCCTCTCCCGCCTCAACTGGGAACTGGAGCAGCGCATACGGTGAGTAGGGCAGCCTTCAGCAACAAGGAGGAGAGCCTTTTCTGTGTGGCTCCCATCCTCCGGAACATTGTGCTCCTGACCTGGTGTGTATCATTCTGGAATGTGTGCCACCAAACCTTGAAGATTATTTTTATAATAATCATATACCTCTTTTGTGCAGGCTGGCAGAGAAGTATAAAGAAAGTTTAGCCAACAAAGAGAAGATTCTTAAAGAGATAGAAGTGAAAAAAGAATATCTGAGCAATCTCCAGCCTCGGCTTAACAGCATCATGCAGGTATGTTCCGTAATAGATGTCTCACAATTGGGGCTCAATTGTAAGCTGGGGACTACCTGTATAAAATAGCTAATTGCCCTATCACAGCCTCCATTTTCACTTTTTCCAACCACTCCCTGCTGATCCAAGCTGACATTTTTTGCCCTTCCTGTTTCTTCCCAGGCCTCTCTTCCTGTCCAGGAATACTTTGCCATGCCTTTCGACCAAGTTCACAAGCAATACGAAACAGCCAGGCATCTCCCACCCCCACTCTACGTCCTCTTTGTCCAAGCAAGCGCATACGGCCAGGCCTGTGGTGAGTAGCGCAGAGTTGAACAGCTTTGAAGGTCCCTCCCTGAAGGAGAGCAGGATCCGATCCCTTCTCACAGCTCTGGCTGAAGGCCAAAGCTGACATGGAGATGCACCAACCACGTGGGGCTGCCTGGCTGACTTCCATTGCTTCTCCTGGATTGTGGGCTGGATGTGTGCAGCTTGCTAGAGTAGGGCAGAAATGGGGTGATTCAGGGGGTTCCATTCCTGACTTCACTGAGGACACGTTTTTCCAGAGCTTTTGGTCTTGAAAAGTTGATGTTCCTTCCCAGTTGGAACACAACGTAGTCCTTGACTTGACACCAGTCATTTAACAACCATTCATGGGGCTCCTTTTAACCCAGATTCGTGTCTATGGAGATTCTCCGTCATCGAGATCACGGTTGACCCAAAGGTGCTATTTCAAGGGGCAACTGGACTTCCTGTTTTTTCACTTCTCATCCAAGAAGCTTCTTCTCTTCCCTGACTGGATGGTGGGGGATGGAAGGATTTATATTCCTGGCAGACCGCTGGTCACTTGCCTTTTAGAGAGTGGTTGAGGCCACTTCTTCATCAGAGCATTCTGATCTTCATATACACCTGAGAATTCTGAATTAACGCCGTGCGCACAATAATATACATTGGACAACATTCTTTGGACTTGCATCTTAAGCTGCTGATGCAAACGGAGCTTTAGGGATAGCTGCAGTGGCCCAGGGAGCGACATTGACCAGCCTGGGCTAGAACAGGCCTACCTATTGCCAAATTGTCTCCTGTT